GGGACTAAAAAGGACTTCGTAGATATTGACAGGGATTAAAAAGGGTGTTTACTCTAAAATTTATTTGCATTGTTAATTATTGTAGTGTCAATTTTTAAAATAATAATAATTACGTTATTTATAATCTCAACTATTAAATACTAATTATTCACAGTCTTGTGAGAATGCAATGAGATTCTCAATTACACACGGAGGAAATGGGTCAATTGACTCAATTGTTCCCGCCGCCGCTTTCACGAGGTGTGCAAATGCAGTGTTGATAGCGTTCCTTCCTTGACCCGTCAGAAGAGATATTTTTAGTATTTTTTTTCAGTATTGAATAGAGAAATCATGCGTAAATTACTAATGTTCGATTCGAGTAAACTGTGATTATTCATCATATAAGTGTGAGATATATGCACGCAGAGGTATTTATTTATATGAGAAATACCGTATAGGCTAATAGCCAATATATTAATCATTGCGATTAATAATAGGCGGATAGCTAAGACATAACTGTATATACTAGCAATAGATAATGATTTAAAAAGTATCTACATGAGATTTTTAGTCTTTATTTATAATATTTATTTCTATGAACTTGGATTTTAGATATCTCCAGATTATTAACTTTTTAGTATCACTGTTAGAATATGAATCTTATTCCTTGATCCTCTAATAGCTTGGATATTATTAGAATAAATTTCAATCTTCTGTTGGATAAATTGTTAAAATGTAGACCCCGTCCATACCAATTAATAATTTCTTTATAAATTTTGTCATGATACTATAAAAATGATTAATCAATTTGATTAAAAAATTAAAATTATTCCTTTTCCTCATGCATTGCTGTGCATGCAAAGGCAGACATCTGCGAAATTTGAATTTAATTTTTTAACTTCGGAAAACGTATTTTAGAGGAGAAATTAAATATTACAACCGTTAATTAAAAGTAGGTAGGTGCACATCTATAATAAACTAGAAATCATTAAATTCCTTTAATTACCTTTTTCATCAATAATTATAACATATTGTGTTTGCTTATTTGATTTGTAATTAATACAGATTTTATTATAATCCTTGATATTAAAAAGCATACAAATCAAATTTTAGTTCATTATAAAGCAAATCATAAAATATAATACAATTATTATTTTTGAAAACTAAATCTATAATATAAAGCAATACCAATAATTTATTGTTATCAACTAGGCCCACTAATACACATACATCATTAACTAATATAAGACAAAACAACAATTCAATCCTTACCTCACATTAAAATGTTGAACATCTAAATCCGCCACATTAAATGTTTATATCTAAATTCCCTAAAAGCCAAGCAAACCTTTGGTTCTATCGATGTACCATGGCAAATAGATTCTCATAAAAATAAATGAAATGTGGTTCCTCTTTACTTGCATGTAGAAAGCAAACCCTATCTTCTGATCATGAAACTACCTTTCAAAATTCAACCTCTTTAATATCTTAAGGAGCCACTCTAGTAGATGTCTTTAGAGGGTTGGAAGTCTTGCTTGGAAATGAAATTGCATGAGTAGGTAGGTCACAAATTGGGCAACTAACATCAGAATCACTATCACCATAAGTGAAAAGCATCCAACTTATCTTGCATTTACCTCGCCTTGCCGCAGAGCCATTTTTAGAGGAAGGTCTACCACTATTACTTTTGCCACTCACCACACCTTGTGGCAAGTAACATGCACATACTCGAAGTTGGAGGGATCTTGGAAAGGGGCAAAATCCATAATTCTTTTTGAGACGGAGGAGTAGTTGTTCGACAACGGAGGACTGATATCTATGGAGAACACAAAACCATATGAGCATTGAAAATCATCACTTTGTTTAGCCTCAAAATCTATAGGCTATGGCGGGATAACAATTTGACCACATATTTTGTACTTGGAAACATAGCAATGAATGTCATATGGGGAGGAAGTTATAATAGGATACGGAGTAAACCTAACATTTATGTTTTCAGCAATACTAGAATCATCTATTTAGAGGTGACAATATAAGTTGAATCCGACCGATCAACCCGTCAACCTACTAAAATGGATTGGGTTAGATTATACATCTTAATCCATCAATCCGTCCCGCTTAGTTGTGGGTAAAAACAGGTTGGCGGCGGGTCATTTTTTATTATTATTTTATTTGTCACGAAATTTTTATGATATAATTTTTTTTTATCTTAATGCTCCACTAAAAAAAATAAAGAAGAAAAACTGTATTTATGACAAAGATTATCCATATATGGAGGCAAATATAAGTTCCTAAATTTTTTTAACTGAATATTAACTTATATTTAGATTTGAGATTGAAAAAAATTAAAAAAAGTGTGAAAGAAAAATAAATAATATTATAAAATTAATAAATATAATACCCGTCATAAAATGGGATGTGTTGAATTTTTCAATCTAAATTCAAAAGACAAGATGGGACGAGAACCTATTTTTGATTAGTTGACGGGAGTCGGAAGAGACCGATCCATTTTACCGCTCTACTTCTCCTTCTTCACCATCAAGATCAATGGGATTTCCCTACTATTATGGCTAAATGGCATTCCTCTTGGAGGACGCTGAGGCTGGCGACTTAGAGAAATGAAAAGGAAAAATTGCTTCTAAAAAGAAACAAGGGCAAATGCATAAATTCCTAAACAAAAGAAAAGTCACAATAGTTATTCGAAGGGTGACATTAAATGTAGTTGGAAAATCGTTAATGCACTTATCATTGTTCACGATCTTGAAAATGCACCCCAAAACAATTAGATCGTGCCACGTAAACCCCAATCGCCTTAAAGAGGGCACGCATAAAGTAAATGAAAAAGCGTTTCAAATTAAGTCTTACGAAAACTAGTCCAAAAAAATGACTCCAAGGCCACGTCAGAGAATATTTGATTGAGGAAATTTTTTTTGAATACTTAAAAAATACTATTGATAGAGAAATGGTTAGAAAGTGAGTTTGGTAGAAAAATATAAAAAGCGTTGTTTGGTTGAAAAAAAAATTATCGAAAAAAATTGGATTAGAAGAGATAACATTGTCATCATTTTTATCACCTTTTTCTCACTTGCCCAGCTATATATGTAATACCATGTTCAAGTTGGTAAACTTCCATGATGCATTTTGTGCATTTTTGCACTTGATTTTCAATTGCTAGGCAAAAGAGATTGGTAGTCAAATTTTTAGAAACCTTTAATCAAACAAAGACACATCAATTCCCAAACTCAAATAGATGAATATCTCCACCAAAAACTTCAACCAAACACTACCTTAGAAATCCTGCAAAATGTTTCAAAGCGTTTAAACTAGAGGTGACATAACAAAAAAATATTACCTTTCCACACACGAGCTCAAACATATTTCTTATCTTGGAATTGCGACTCCATGCAGTACCATGGTAGGAGCCTTCTGTTATGGACTAATCCCTTACTCCATTAATATCCATACGGCTTGACAATACCAATCATGGTATGATTTAACTTGGATTTTTTTCACCTTTTTATTCCTTTTTAAATTAAAAATTATCAATATGTCTCCATTTTAAAACTATTTAAAAATTCAACATTTTACCAAAATTTAACACCAATTTATCCCTATTTGATCATTGACTAGATGATATAAGCAATTACAAGGTCCTTGTAATTGATTACATGACTCAAATTTATCATAAAATTTCGAAAGACCATAACTTTTAGCTCGAAGGTCCGAATCAAGTGATTTTTTTTTTTAATTCCACATGACTGTTGAGATCTACGTAATGACAAAATCTTGAAGGATTATTTTTTAATGTTAGAAAGTAAAAATATAAATAACATTATTCACACAGATAAAATACGCCAATAAAGCACAAAAAAGCTTTTTTTTGGAATTTTTTTTTACAAATCCCCTACGAATTTGCCGGCGTTAGCTCTCAGAAAGTTGTATGGAATAAAAAAAAAACACATGATTTGGACATCTGAGTCAAAAATTATGACCTTTTGAAATTTTACGGTAAAATATTTCAAATTTTGTGCCACATTAAACTCGCTACTACTCTTTTCGAGTTTCAGGCTACCTGACAACCGTCAGACTGATTTGACCACCAAACTCATTGTCAATGGCAATGCTAGGTAGTTTGATGGCCTCAAGCGACGTGCCTTTGATACAATCAACAAAATCTATAATGCAAATATGTTTTATGATACCACAAAGCTTGTCCTTAAGTCAAGTATTACGAGTATATGACTATAGAAACTCATTCGATAAAAAATTCTAGTGGAAAAAATTTTATATGCCTGAGTTCGTTGATGTAATTGATTACAATATACTAGTGTAATCGATTAAGTAATTTAATCAATTAAATGGATGTTGTAATAAATTATTAGGTTTACTTAACAGTCAAACAATGACAAATTGGAGCATAGTTTAGGAAGGGAAAAATGATAATTTTAAATTTAAAAAGCGGCAAAAGGATAAAAAAAACCATCTAACTTGCCAAGATTCATCAATCTCATTACCACTTATATAAGACATTTCACATGCATATGCAAATAGTTTTTTGGAAACTAAGCATATGCAAATAGTTAAACTCTAAGAAATAATATCATACGCAGTAAGAACTCACTCATTGGATTGCACCTTTCCTCACAGAGAATACACCATTAACACATTTTTTTCTATTGCAGAGATAATAACTGTCTATATTAGGATCCTTAAACTCATACGTATAGCAACGGGCAACATTTAACCTCTTTACTGGTTATAGACTCAAACCGATCTTCACACTTTAAAACATTTATTATTGTGAAAAGCTCAAGACATTAACAAATTTTTATTTTTTATTTTTATTCACATATTTATATTAAATTATAAAAATATCAATTTTTATTTTTTAAAGCTTTAAAAATAAAAACAAGATAATTTTTTTTTCCAAAAATTCTTATAAAAAATAAAAAATATATATGTACCTAACAAAGTGAAAAAATGACGTAGTGGGGTTGGTCAGCGGTGGAGAAGGTTGAACATGACCAGTTCCCGTGTTGGCAGTAATCAGAGAGAGAGAGAGAGTAGCGTTTGCTTCCTGCTCACTGCTTAACCTACCAGACGCGCCGCCTCATGTCTCTTCCATTGTCATAATAAACATAACAACATTATTATCATAATCCCATTTCTTTTTCTATTCTCATAAAAACTATGATTTTCCTCTGTTCCATTCCACCCCATCATTATTCTTATTCTTATTATATATATATTCTTGCCAACCAATCGGGATTTGAGTTTGGACTTTTTCTTTCCAAATTTTCAATCTTTGTCTCAATCCCACAACACCCTTCCTCCCTCCCTCTTCCCTTCCGTTCTTCCCTGTCTCAAAGTTCCACCTATTCTTTCCCCTTCAGTTACCACCTCACTGTTATTACTTTATTCAGCACAACAAAACAAAAAGGGTGTTCTATGTTAGTTCTTGATTTGGATGAACTGAGCTGCCACTAGATAATTTTTCTTTTCTTTTTTCTCTTTAAGATTGAAAATATTTTGATATGGGGGGTCTTTGTTCGAAGTCTGTGAAAGGTGACAAGGTGTTTGCCAAGACTGATGGACATTCTGATATTCATAAATCTGATGGTAAGAACTATGAGGCCACCGTGCCTAGTGAGTTGACAAGTGCAGGGGAGAGAATGGACAAGAAAAAGCATGAGCCAGATGAAGGGACTAGTCCTGATGATTTCTATGATGGCATCCCACGCTTTAACGATTCTTTTCACAACAAGTCTAGGTCAGTAAGATCAAGGCAAACTGCTGTGGCAAAGGTTTGTTTTTTGTTTTGTAACATTCTGTTTCTGTGCTTAATCTATGAACTAATCAATCAGTAATCTCAGACAAACTCGGTATACCTATGAAACATGTTATAATTGGTGATGGATTGGGTTAGATAGATCGAGGGTGAAAGTATAGTTGTCCTAAAATACATGTTTTGATTTTTTTTTTTATTATTGAATTTATTCCTAGCTGTAAGTGATTGATTGAGATGATGTTGTTGGCAATGGAAATTTGGTTAATCTATGACTGTGTAAAGTATTTGATTCTATTTGAAAAGATGGCTTTTAGGGAAAGGAATTTATGCAAGGATCGGTTTTTGATGTTTTGGAATGGAGACACTATATATTGTTCTGTGATGAATAATTTCAAACATTCTAGTACTTGATGTGCTCGGTGAAGAAAGGAAAAAATTTCAACTGGGTTGCAGAAAGGAGATGGAAATTAAGTTCTTACAAGATGGAGTGAATAAAGAGATTAAGTGGTTAGAGAAGGGGCAGACATGGTATCTTTATCAAGGTCATGTTTACATACTTACATGGGAATTCTTGTTGCACAACCTACTAAATTGAAGTTTGGGGGGGGGGGGGGGGGTTTATCTATTTGACTACCTGTGACTCATGGAGGCCTTTGGTGTGATAGATATATTTTTTCTTTTTCATGTTTTCATGTGTGCATGGTTATCGCCCACGTGATTCAAAAATTTAAAATGTTTCTTCATCGTAAATGTATAAATCATGATATATCATAAGTCCAAAACTGTTTCGAATGATTTCTCGACAATATATAAAGGAATTATTAAATTTCTTTTGGAGAAAATTTTCAGAAATTAGTGGCATCAGTAGCTGCTAGAGCATAATCCTCAGCAATTCTTTATCATGGGTAGGGAGTTGATATAGGCAAGTGAAATCCATTATAATCACATTTCTGAGCTAGTTATAAGTTGGGTGATTAGAAAGGCTTCTTGCTAGTGGAAACTAAAAAAAATGACTAAAGGTGCATGCTGATATGATATGAGAAGATAATAGTTATACCTCTTGTAATAACTTGTTATGCATATATAATTTTGGAAAATGGTTTGTAAATGGGGATGTACTATTTAATTATTAGTAATTACGAACTTGAGAATCGTGTTGTCTGGATCTTGGATATCTTATTTCCGTATCCTATTTTGTATATACTTGAATCGTAAGGTTAGGTTGCTTGTCCTTGTTAGTGTAGAGATTGTTTGAGCAGACTATGAGGCCAATAATCGGGCCTGGGGATTTCACTCATGAGCATAGAATGGGAGTAGCAGAAATAAGAATGTTAAAGTGGTTGTATAGTCATACTAGGGTGGATAAAATAAAAAATGAAGATATTCGACGAAAAATTGAAGTAGTATTGGTGGAAGAAAAGATAAGAGAATATAGATTGAGATGGTTTGGGCATATTCTTAGAATACCCATGGATGCTCTGGTAAAAGAAGAAGTTTGCTACCAAGAGCATGACATAAAGAAAGGAAGAGGTTGGCCAAAACTTACTTGAAGGAAAGTATTAAAACAAGACTTAATAAAGTGGGAAATATATTAGAGTTTAGTTTGTCTTAGAATGGAGTGGTGGAAAGCTATTGGCGTTGTGAAGGGTTAAATGTTTTCTATGTTTTTAATTATTTATTTTATTATATAAATATATATTATTTTTGTTATTTCTTTTCTTTCAATGTGTTCTTGCTTTTATTTGGGTTCATTGACCCTAATTAGTTTGGGATAATTATGATGTTGATGTTATTGAATATAAATAGAGTATCTGAGTTTTTTTTGAGATTCTTCTTCGTTTTAACTATTCTTGCTCTTAGGATAAAGGTGATGTCGATGTTATTGAATATAAATATCGAGTATTTGAGTGTTTGTTGAGATTCCTTCGTGTTTTAACTGTTCTTTCCCTTTTTCAGTTTAGTAATAGAGTCAAACTTCATCATTCCATTTGCTCACAGTCACTCATCTCAAAAAGCATGTTGCGAACGAATATATCAAGTTTAGAAACACATTATGTAGGTTGGTCTTGGTAGTGTTTTTGCTTTTTAAGATAATATTATTAGCAAACCATTGATCTTGTAATTTCTAAAAAGCTTGGGAATCCAAAAGTGATTCTGTTGTTGCTTCTTCCACCATCTGTTGCCATTTTTGTTGCTGCCATCATTTGTTGCACTTTTCTGTCACTTAATAATTTTCGTTGTTGGTTATTCCACTACCACCTGTTACATTTTTTTTGTTTCATCCTTATTTTGAATTGCCCCTACCCTTGCTAGTTGGGGTTTAATGGGGAGTGGTTTATGCTCATTATGTTTATTATTTCAAATTGAGAATGAGTTTTCTCCAACATGAGGAGAGAAATGCAGTACGAGGATGTAATGTTTAAGATTGGTGGATGTATTTATAATTTCGGAATTAGCGAGCTCTAGGTTTTATATACTATAAACTTGGAATTTCTGTACTTAGTTGTATGGTCTTGGGATATATTATTTCTGGATAGATTAATTGTCCCAGTTTATATTCACTGGAGTCCTAGCTTATATTTTCTGGTCCTAGCATTATTATTGTTGATTACTTTGCCTGAATAAGGCATATTGTCCATCTTAGGGATTTCATCTTTATTATTGAATTTTAAATATTGAGAACTTGACGATCTTTTGAGATTCTTTCTTGGTTCCAGTTCTTGTTCATGATCTTGCCCTCACCCGACCCTTGCTAGTTGGGGTTTAATGGGAAATGGTTTATTTTTCCAAATTTAGAGGAAAAAATAATTGAAGATCATGAAATGCATGACTATATAAAAAAATCTTACAAGGAGTACCCAGGGGAATACGAAGAAAAACTACGAGTTTGAGTAACTAATGCCCTAAAGATAATGAATCCATGGACAAGTCCACTGAATTGGTTTACGTTAATTTCCTTCTTCTGTTTGGACATCATATTCTTCATCTTTCCCTTCATCATTATACTGGTCAAATCTGCTTTGATGTTTTGCTGCATTTACATTTTCTTCCCCTGATATTCGAATTTACCACTGCCAAACGTGCATACTGTTTATTATTATGTCCCTTTAGTTTAAGTAGAACACGCTAAGCTCTCATGAAAGAGAAGGGGGACAAGTAGACTATCATAGTAGAAAAATGAAGATATCAACTAAGATCTTTCTAATTTCTATTTCAGGTGTCAGAGGTGAGTTTACGCCTGGGCAGAGCTGGTACTGTCGGATTTGATAAGGCAGTATCTGTTTTGGACACTCTTGGGAGCAGCATGACAAATTTAAATGCTAGCAGTGGGTTTGTGTATGGAGTTGCAACGAAGGGGAATGAAATTGGTATCTTAGCATTTGAGGTTGCAAACACTATTGTCAAGGGTTTTAGTCTTATGGAATCTCTTTCAACAAAAAGTATTAAACACCTAAAAGAAGAGGTGCTTCCGTTAGAGGCTGTGCAAGATTTAGTATCAAAAGATATGGATGAACTTCTAAGGATTGTTGCTGCAGACAAGAGGTAACTATTGGATTAAGTCAAACTCCTACAAAATGCCATGACGCTATGAAATGCCAACTATACGTGTTTTTTGGTTTATGTTTCCAGAGAGGAGTTGAAAGTCTTTTCTGATGAGGTGATTCGTTTTGGAAATCGTTCAAAGGATCCTCAGTGGCACAACTTGGACCGTTACTTTGAGAAGTAATATGAATTGTATTCACTCAATTGGCTAAGTTTTTAGTCTTTCTTAAAAAAAATAAATAAAAAAATTAGCCTTTCACGTTTCATTCTGACCAGTCTTTTTTATTGTAAATTTTAGAATTAGCAGAGAACACAGTTCTCAAAGACAATCAAAGGATGAGGCAGAATTAATGATGCAGCAATTGATGACTTTGGTTCAGTTTACCGCTGTGAGTGTACTCGTTTACTAAAGTAATATTCACTGTTGCTCCTGAACTGGTAGTTACTTTTGAAGCTGAAACAATGCAGTGAATTTTCTTTTAAAGAGTTTTTGGTAAAAATAGAACAACACTCAAGTGGTTAATTCAATCAATAAATGGATACTCATTAACCACTCTTTGAATATTTTTAAATAGTTGAGTAATTAATTGTTCCAAGAGTGAAAATATTTTTTTAACCAAAAATAATTTTTTTAAACATTTTCACAAAGATGTACTATTGAGGAAATTGATTGAAAGATGTTTCAGTGCTTTCCTTAAACTGTGTTACATATCAATTGTATTTCTCTCTCCCATTTTCTCTATATCCTACTTGTTATCTCTTATATGCATCATGCTTTATATTCAAAATTAATTGGGATTGCTGCATTCAAGTTCAACTACTTTTAGCTCTGTAGTAATCTGGGAGTATTGTAATTTCTATCATGACCCTGAGGTAAAGCTTGTAATCTAATAAACCTGACATTGAATATGTATCAGTACTACTTCATAATGACATGAATATTATGGAATGAAACAAATGTGATATTTGTCTGTACTTTCTTCCTGTGATGATTTAATATGTACAAATTGATTCTTAATGAAGGAATACACTACCTCATAAATAATTTCCTAAAGTATTATATATTCTTATTTATAAGTTGATAGATTTATAAGATAATTTGAGGTGGGAGGAATTGTATTTATTGCTCATTGTGTAGTATCTGCTCATATGTTCTTACTCATTTTGTGGCATAGGAAAGGAACTCAGTTTCAACATGCTACTGTCTGTCAGCACCATAAGTTTTTGTGAAAAATTTATCTTCAATGTTTTCTATTGTCTTTTCTTGGGTGCGGCCAAGGGCTTTATAAAGTATCTGTATACAGTGATTTTGTTGCTCTGCATTTGCATTTTATTGAACTTTGTATTTTATTATTATTATTATTATTATTATTTTTTGTGGGATTTACATCTAAAAGAAATTGGAAAATCAATTTTTTATGGCCTCAGGAATTATATCATGAGTTACATGCTTTGGATAGATTTGAACAAGATTATCAGCATAAGCGTGAGGAGGAGGATAATTCAGGCGCAGCTCAAAGCGGTAATTGAAGAGTACTATCTATGACATAATATGCAACTCCTGAATGTAACAAGCAATTATTGACATAAAATCCAAAAAACTCTAAAGAGTTTTAATTCATAAGAGAAGATTAACGTTGGTATTGTAAATTTTTGATAGAATAATCATTTAGAGGGTGAAGAGTATGTGTGGAACTTGAACAAGACTCATTGAACACACAAATGATTCTGAAAAGCTGGAGAAAGATCTAGGGTAGCATTATCTACTATTTCGTTGTGGTTATACTGAAAAGGTGTAATTGATTGCATGGTTCAAGATCTACGTAAATTATGTTGATTGCTTTGTGATACAACCTCCACCAAGAACTGTATGAAATTACAGGAAATCAACAAGGAATGGAAAATGGTCGAGCATTTCTGAAATAGTCCTCAACAGTACAAAGATTTGATAAAAAACAGTGACTGAAAAACCCACAATTGATACGGATAGTACTCAGAAATACAAGTGAAACAACAATGACTGAATAATACTATAAAACAGAGAAAGAACGAAAATATAGAACAATCTGAGAGGCTCTACACTCTCCTGAAGTCCCATGACCCACATAAAATTCCAGATGTCCCTCACCCGCTCACACTTCCCCTATTTATCCCCCATTCCTCTCCACCAAACTCTTCTAACTGAATTCTGTTGAATTCTTTCTGGAATATTCCCTCTCCAACTGACTCTTTGTTGAGTCAGCATAAGCTATCATGCTCTTGTGAATACCTCTTAAGAGGAGGGCCCGAATTACTTTGCATGTTCAATTGCTCAGACTTCTTGTTATGGTCATGTATTACAACAATGTTTCTAGCTGATGCTTTTCAAGATAATTTATGGATTTATCATCACTCCCCTACTATGTTTACTGTCAAACTAAACGCCACTTGTAATGAGTATAATTGATTCACCATAGACTCTGAAATGGATATAAAAACTGTGAGATGTAGCCGGAACTGAGTATTCTTGTTGAGCATAATTGGTTTGAATTCACCAAAATTGGTTTTCATTGATATTTTGTTTGAATTTCGTGGAGTCGGAACTGAGTATTCTTGTTGAGCATTGATGAGTTTGTTATTGTTTGAGATGTCATATAAAATCATTCAAGTTTCTTCACCTAGCAGCTTAGCTTTTAGTAGAGTTGATTTGTGGTATGATATTAGAGTCTCTTTGATCAAGTGGTTTAGAGTTCAAATTTTGCCACCCCCATTCTTCTCATAGAAAGTTGAATTTCAGCAAAAGATTGGTGGACCTATGCATTATTCGCACTTTAAGTCCAAAGGACTCTTGTGTGAGAAGGCATGTTAGAGATATAGAATAAAATTATTCTTGTCTTCATCTAATGACTTAAGTTTTTGAGAAAGTTGGTTCTTTTATATAATACATTTTTAAAGAAAAAGTCATTTTGACCTAGAAGTTTGAATGCAGTATATTGAGCAATATTTCTTTAGGTAATTTCTTATATACGTAATCTTGAATGTTTCTCTTCATCATATAGGTGATAGTCTTTCAATCTTGAGGGCAGAACTTAAAAGTCAAAAGAAGCAAGTTAAACATTTGAAGAAAAAGTCACTCTGGTCCAGAAGTTTGGAAGAGGCAAGTTCATATTACTTCTGTACATGAATGTGACTATCACATCTCTTAGTCTCCTCCACACAATATGTTTTATCCCTTCATTGTATTCTATCCATGTATAATGCCAGAACTAGTACAGAGACTTTAAGATGTTTTTTATTGGTAAAGGTGGGGTATTTTGTGGATGAAATACGTGGATAATTGAGAAAAGTAGAGTTTAATTCATAATCTAATGGATTACAGGTTATGGAGAAGCTTGTTGACATAGTCCATTTTTTACATTTGGAGATAAATAAAGCCTTTGGCAGTGCAGGTATGTACCCGATAAAGACATTAAGATCGTACTTGCTTCACTTTGTGTTATACTCTTCTTTGTCACCTAGTGGGATCATTATCAGTTATCAATATTGCAACTTAGTTGACATCATTGATAGCCACTGCAAATTTCAGCCTTGATAACCTTTGTTAGAGATATATAAAACCATTAATAATAATATAGCCTCACCTAACAGCTTAAGCTTTTAGGTTGTATTGATTCTTTACATGGTATCAGAGCCTCATGTCACGGGTTCAATCCTCGTCGTCCCACATTTTCTTTGTGGAATTTCTTAGCATAGATAGGTTGGGCCTAATGCATCATCCACCCTTTAAGCCTAATGGGCTTTCATGTGAGGGGGCGTGTTAGAGATATATAAAATCATTAATATAGCCTCACTAAACAGCTTAAGCTTTTGGGTTGAATTGATTTTTTACAACCTTATTTTGTAGTTCTTGGAAAAAATTTAAATTTGAAGGGAAGAAAAAGAAGAGAGGGAAAGTGGGGCAGGGGCGGGGGAGGGGAGGAGGCTGGGAGGGAAAGTTATCTGGTTTTATTCTTTTCATATTACTCTTCAAATCAAGTTGTAATAAAAGCTGTATTTTGCTTTGTAACTAAAATGGTGTTTGTCCATGGGTATCCCACAGATGGCCGTAAACCTTTGATTCAAACCAACAGTAATCGCCAAAGATTGGGTCCTGCAGGCCTTGCTTTGCATTATGCAAATATAGTGCTCCAAATTGATACTCTAGTAAGTGTTTCTTCTTTATTATATTTATTTCATAACTTGGTTTAGTGCAAAACAGTATGCTTTATCAGTATCTTTTAAGTTTCAATAAAAATCAACTAAAGGAATAGGGAAGTAGACCACTGTTTATTTCATTCAAGAGCTTTGATGAGGTTGTACATTTATTCTTGACCACTTGATAAATGGTATATGATTTGTTTGTGGCCGAATCACACTGTAGTTCCTGTTTACTACTTCATTGTTGTTTAAATAATGTCCGCTAACTACCATGTGTGATTAAGCTTATGCACTGAAGAGCATTGTACTTTGCCCGTGTTGATGCTGTCAGGTTGCCAGATCCAGTTCTATGCCTGCAAATACTAGGGATTCATTATATCAGAGCTTGCCTCCTAATGTAAAATCAACTTTGCGTTCCAAATTACCAAACTTTCATGTTGTAAAAGAGGTATGATCTTTTCTGCTGGTACTTTCTCCTATTACTGCTGTTAAAAATTAGAGAGAGAGAGAGAGATAAAATGCTGGTCTGTAAAATTTATATTGTTTCTCTTCTGCCTTCAACTTTCAACCAATGTAGAAAATATCCTATATTAATTTAGTTTTTTAATTATGTTGTGCTTTTTCCTTGTGGTTGCTGTCTGTTTCCTGCAGCTCAATGTAGCAGAAATTAAACAAGAGATGGAGAAAACATTACATTGGCTAGTTCCAATTGCCACAAACACAGCCAAGTAAGATGTGTATATAACATATCATATATATTTCAAATATTTCCTTTACTGCCTATTTGAGAAACTTTTTATTAGCATCAGTTTATTTACTTTCTATATACACTAACTGTTTATTCTTTTTCTTTTGGTTGGTTGCTCTAAAATTGAATCAGAGCGCATCATGGTTTTGGTTGGGTAGGGGAGTGGGCAAACACTGGGTAAGTAACAATCTGCTGCTGCTTTTTTGAAATCTAAACTTGCATGCTTTTCCATTTTTTTCTTTTTTTATTCCCACTTTCAGTTGTTAAATACTTGTTTGGTTCTTGCAGCTCCGAGCTAAATAAGAAGACCGTGAAGACTGATGTAATGCGGATTGAAACATTTCACCATGCAGATAAGGACAAAGTTGAAAATTATATACTAGAACTTCTCTTATGGCTTCATCGCTTAGCCATCAAAAGTCAAGCTGGCAGCAATGGTGGCGAAATGAGGTCTACCATCAAGCCACCTGTTGGCATTTCCCTGCAAAAGACAGTTCAACAATCTACAAATTCCCTACTTCCATTGCTAACAACTGATGAGCAGAACATGTTGCAGGATGTAAGTAATAAAATTCGCGTCAGAAGGATAAGTAAAAGCTTGGACTTTGACAGTGTGAAGACTGGCTTGACAGATAACAGCAGATTGACCAAGAGTAGCAGTTATTCATCAACAAGTAGAAGCAAGGAATTATCTTTTAATAGAATTTTGTCTAAGCTTCCTGTGATTGATTTTGGTATTGACAAAAAGAGAGCATTGGATGTTATTGACAGACTAGATGTGGCCAGATAATTTGCTTCTATTCTCGAGTACCTTTGAAGAAATGAAAGGATAGTAGCAAGATGTGGACGGAAAGAAGAATGGGACTGACTCTTTTTGTGTAAATATACCACAATATTCATGCTGCAAGTGTTGAATGCCAAATTTTGGCACCTTGGATTCACTTAGCTTCATTAGGGTGCATTGTTTTGGTGAAGTGCTATTCTGCACCATTATGTAGATATTGTCTTTATTATGGTACCAAGGGTATTGAAACGGGGTGGATTCTGTTTTTTGTTCTTGAGAGTGTATAGACAATGAGGATATGGTACCTATGATAGTTTTGCGTTGCATGTATAATTGTTGGTTTGGTTACCTTGCCTATGGCCATTGGCAATGCTGAATCTAGTAATTGTTTTTCTCAAATGTAGATCATGCTGCAATAGATCGGAGTCCATGTCAATGGGAAAATAGAATCATTGTTGGATAAAGAAAAGTGGTTGACGCCTTATGTGATATAGGTAGCATTGCACTATCGATTTCCATGAAGTTGAGTGCAAGATTTGCTTATAAATGAAAAGATAAACCTTCGAGATTGAATTTTCTGAAATATGGATATTAAGCCAGTCCTTTTTACCTTAAAAGAACAAATAAAGATGGATACTAATTACCAAATAGAAAGAATAAAATATTCTTTTCTTCTCGTTATATAGAATGTGATTTTCTTAAAAACTTACTATGTGAAGTGGTTTTTTAATGTTTTATTTTTGGGTATTATTTTTTAAGATAAATAAGAGTTATGTCGTAGGAAAAATAATTTGATCATGCTAAGATATGACAAAACAAAATCATTGAACAAAGTGTATCATCCCATTTTTTTATTCTTATTTTTTTTTTTTTTTGTCTTTTTGTTGCATGATAGCAATTCCCTAGAAGAATTGTAGTGCTCCTGGCCCATGAAATTTGGGGTGCTCCTCCTCTCAAAACAGGGGAGCAAAATGGGAAAAGAAAAAATGAGAGGGGCAAAAATGAAAGAAAAAATTCACCTATGTGAGAGGGACCACCAAATAGTAAAGTGGGCCTGTATCACTTAATTATTTTTCCTTAATGTAACATGACAAAATAAAGACTCTTATTTTTTATGCACACTCAAATTGCAATTTGGATCTCACTTTATATTTTTTTTCTCTTCTTCGTTTAGTGGAACCCATATTGCACTTTGTGTGCATATGAAAGGAATTCTCTCTCACGTAACATAAAAAAAATAATACCCTTTATTTTTTTCAAATTTGTGGTTAGTTATATACAGCCAGCCTCAGTGCTGGCTTTGATAGGTTATACAAACAGATATTGAGATAGGCATAAACCTACAAGGAAAGTGCACTTGTCAGGAGAGTTATGAACTCATCTGTTGTGTTGTGCTCCTTTGATGGTTATGCTGTGGGGAATAGCTACAGGAAAGGTAGGGCTGCAACAGTGCAACCAGAATTGACAGGAATATTTTGTCACCATGTATCTATCAGCATATTAGCCTAATCTAATATTATTTGGGGGAAAAAAATACTTCAACAAATTATTTGAGGTTTACACATAATTTAAAGGGTTCACTTTTTCTTGCGGATAAGTTATCTGCAGTAAGCTAATACAACGTCGTTTTGGGGCGGAAATCATGGTGTTTTTGTAATTTTAATTTATTTCAGAGTTATAATAGTCTTTATATTTATAATTTTTTAAGATTTCAATACCAAAACGACGTCGTTTTGGGAATAAATGTAGATAACTTATCTGCATTAACTGCAGAAATATTTTTCTCTAATTTAAATCTCTAAGAAAATACCCCCAACCTCGGATTAATCTCAAAGGATGAACCGGTTAAGAAATACTACTAATAATAATAAAAAAAAACTCTAAGAAAAATTACAATGAAACGTTGCGATATTTAATGACTTACATTAGAGGATGTGAAGAGCGAAGAGTGTCTAAAGTATAAAATTCCTTGATGTTATACATGTGTTTCTTGATGTAACTAACAGGAAATGATCAATCGCACCAAAGTACACGCATGAACCAGTATCATTGCCCACAACGCGGGTTTGAAAAATTCTTGGCTGCATCAATTTGAGTCAATTACAACCTATGAACAAATAAGTTGGTCAGATCAGAAGCGAGATCCACTGAAAAGTCCCTTCTTAGTTATGACTGGTTAATTGCATGTTTGGCTAACGAATGGGAATCATCATGCTTACGTACGGGTTAGAAGGAAAATCTGCTGTTTTAAGGTTCCTGTTCCTTTCGAATCACAATGTCTGGTACAGGTTAGATTTACATTCTATTTGGTGCATAAAAAACATTAGAATACATTATACAGTTGAATCTTAAATATACACGATTCCTCTTCACAAAAATAGGTCAACACGATATTTTGAGAACTTTTGAGGATGTTTTTAAAACACCAGGTTTTGTATCAACTTAGATTCATTTCGATGTTGGTGGTTCTGTTTTACGAGGAAGGCTTTGAGATGAATGAATGAATTATAGTCATAAGCACATTCAACTGTTGTTCAGTGCTTAGGTTTTGTAATGCAACTCAAGATGATTCTTTCCCTTCTCTTTTTGATCCCTACCACGCTTATATGACAATAACTATCCCAAAGTATGAAATGAATGTGTCCTTTCATTGTCTTGAGAGTAAAATATAGATGGAACCACTAACACGCAAAAGTGCATTCAATCATACAGACAAAAAGATTACACAAGCTTTTCTCAAAACTACATCAAGGAATTTTCCAAAAGACCTGCAGTTTAGGTATACAAAAATAATGGCAACATCAACTAGTAACCTATGATAAATACAGCAAATGTACAATGGAAAAGAATCAGACACTATTATATACACACGCCCATCTCATCGGACTTTATCTGATGAGATTATCTTCGACCACTGCCTCATTTGATATTTTCAATAACTTGAGGCTTCTTCATCAGGTAAAATCACAGCTAAAAGAGAATATTTTACTTTAAGTGATATCTTACCATTCTCCACATAAAGCCTTGCCCCGGACACAACCCAGTAGCCAGGCGAGTCTTGCGGTCCTCTTGTCATTTCTGTTGTGTCAACAAACCTTAGAAGTTTAGGTGACTGAGTGGGCACAGGAGGCCCCCCAGGGTATAAAGCAGAGTTGATGTTTACATCGGATGGCCGAGGTGGTGGTGGTGGTGGTTTTTGTGGACCTGAGAAGGTAGTGCTGATGAAAGTTGAGATTATTCCAGATTTCTGGGTCAAGCCAGGAGAACCATCCCACTCAGGTCCTTTCACCCGGGTTGCACCCACAACTTTACAGAAATGAAGTCTTAGGAATAGAACTTTCTTAAGACCAGTATCTCCAACTTCGAAGTGAGCCCCAGTCACAACAGAGTTATCATCATCAGCTTCAACAGGAGCTGTGCAAACATGAGAGAAACTCTTCCACTGGACCTTTTCATAGTACTTGCGTTCCGAAGAGGCATTAGATGCATTCCCATTAGGCTCATCCTGTAGTTGGAAGGTCTTTGGCAGGGAGGAGAGGTGCTGTAAATGGATTGCCAAGCAGTTGCTTTTCTTTCCTTCCAAATATAATCGAAGGCCTGTCACAGGCTTCTTTCCCACATCAACCTGTAAGTAGTGAAAACTTTAAAGTCAGTCTAAATCATCACATTTGTAACATAACGTACAAAAAATCTGAAAATGCAATGTAGATGATTATGATATGATTTCAAGCAAATACTATAGAATCATTAGGGATTAAATCATTTTAATTGATACCCATGCTTATATATAGAGAGACTGTGTGGTCTGTTATGGACATAAAAAATTCACCCAATCAGATTTCCTTTCTGAACTTCAAGTTGGTGACAAAGTGGGTTTCAAACTGTCTCTCTCAACTAACCCTAAACCCGCTGCCTAACGGAAAACATTTCTAAACTTGTTGTGCCCACTGCCCACTACATAGCAGTCCTTTTCTCTGGTCACTAAATTTTTTTTTTTTTATGAAAATAAAGGCTTTGTTCTGAAATTTGCCCATCCACTCATTCACTTAAGAACAGAAATATGTGATAATGACGAGTGAGACAGGAATGGGAAAAGGAAAAACCAAATAACAAAACCACTCCCCATTAAATCTTAACTAGTGAGGGTCGGGGCAATGTTTGTACGTAACCTTATCTTTGCATATTTGCAAAGAGAATATGCAATTAAGTAAATGCACCAATGATTCCAGTCCTAATTAGTTAATTCATTAATAAAATAGGTGGCCATAATTGTCATTCATCTCTCCCTTATCATCCTTGGAATAGACCGAGAATCTCATTAAGTCTTCGGGAGAATAAAATCCGATGCCTGAAGATTTGAAATAGACAAAGTATGGGCAAATTTATTATATTCCTCATTCGTCAAGAATAACTGGACAAATACCTAATAATCCAAACAGATGGAAGCACAAGTGCATACTACAAAAGAAAACTATGATCCCTAACTCATCGTTATATTATTTTATTTAGCTTCGAAAGTCTCTGTTGCAGAATTAGATGGAAAGGGGAAAAGAGAATATATTTTATTAACAGAATTCTGCATAATTGAGATGTTATGATGATGCTATTTATACTGATGTTCTAATTCACTTAGTACAAGTACAACCAGCACATGCCCAGCTCAATAACACTCCTAAAACAATAATAATCCTGGTATTCTTAACAGTCTCAAATTTAAAATCAGAGAGAACAGAAAACTGCATAACACCTCTTTGATAGACCATTTTTTCCCTGTTACTGCCTTATAATGGAATAAAAGCAACTAAAATGTGGCACAGGTATAAACGTGGTGGTCCATATGCATTGAAGACAAGCAGTATTACCAGCGTTGTGTTTACATAGAGCTTAGGACCCATTAAGCTGAACTGTAAAGATGCAGTATTTTGTGGCTTCCTTTCAGGACCAAGGGCAAGCTCACCAAATACAGGGGCCCATTGTCTTGGAAGCTGGAACTCCAAAAACTGATGCAATTCTTCAATTGGTGGTTTATCTGCAGACAGAAGTCACAGTGGATGATGGCATATTTTATTTAACTTCATACACAGACCACATTAATAACATATAAAACTACAGTTACAACAGTAACTTCTCACAATCATTCCCAATGAATTTTCAGAAAATAAATGAGAGACTAGAAAATCTTCCATCAAACTATAATGATAAACATAATGCAGGTATAACTGGCATAAAATCTCTTTTCCATTGTATCACCACTGTCAGGGGTAAAAAGCTAAACTCACTGATGCAATTTCATTTTAATAAATCAATTGTAGAATAACAAAAAGTACACAAGCATTTATCATAAATAATTATACATATATAGACGTGATGCACAACTTTTTTAAATATGGATTGCAAACAAACATAGAAATCAAGATATTACATAAAGAACAGAATAAGAATTGATTTCTATGCAATGTTCAACATAATCAACTGTCCTACTAACCAAAATTCCAAAAGCTTGGAAATTCTCAACTTAAATAACACGTTCATCAGAAACTGGAGTATGGTAAAAATTTGGTTATAATGATGTAACATAACAGTGGAATTGGTGGTGGTGCATTTTGCAGTAATAGATGGTGCTAGCAAATGTAAAGATAGTGATATCAGGCAGCAAGTTGTTTGTGGTGGCAATGCAGAGATGATGATAGAATTGACATATATAGTGTTAATGTCTTCATAGGATTAACTTAATATCCCCAGTGTAAAAGTAACATCAATGATAGGCTCGAAGTTATAAATTCCATCGAAAGACCCTTCACTGCAGTAAGAGACCTGACCTCCATTTTAACTAAAGTTGCTTTCATTACTTATATAATGTTACTAAACCAAGAAACCATGGGTTTCTATTATTCTACCAAAATATATCATCATATATTACAGTTAACTTTAAAATATTAACGTACTGCTATAGTATTAGATGATTTCATAGCCTTTGAAGCCAAATGTAAATAAGTAAATGACTAAAGGAGTCGAGCTTCGTTGCTTACACCGTAGATAGAGATTTATGGCATGAGTTAAATATCCACTTCCATTTATTCCACCAAGTAGAGATGTAATTGGTATGAATGACATTGATATCACATCTGGTTGAGAAAAAACAGTTTGGCACCACTCATAATGGGACAGAGATTTTTTCCCATTTCCACCTTTCCTCTTGCCCATGAACTTGATATCTTGCACCTAAAATGTTTAATGGAAAAGAAAGAAAAAAGTTAGAATACTTGTTTTGTTTTTCCTTTGTATTATTTATTTACTTTGTTTTTGGGCTGAAGAAGAGGGCTACTGAAAAAGACATCAATTTGATGACTTTCTTCGCAGGAATGATTAATTCAATGATGCAATGAGGCAAAACAAATAACTACTGGTACACCACACAAATTTCTGCTGCTTTAATGCACAAGGATCCTGTAGCTCGTATAAATTCAATTTTTAAAACAAATGTATTTACCTCTGAATCGTAGTAGGAGCGAGATTGAATTTCCATGAATAGCCCATTGTCCATCATAAACTGGGGGAAAAAAGGGGAGAGGAAAATACAAGTTATGCATAGGGTAATGTAATCTTTTCTTTAGTAAACAGGTATAAATGTTAAAAAGTAGAATAGCTTTACCCCAAAAAATGGGATCTGCCCATATATCTCACATAAAGTTCCCTTGGATTCATTTCATAATATTTTTATTCAATCTGTTTTTCTCATTTTTCACATAATTATTCAGACTTCATATAAAACATTTGGTACTTACATTGTTGCAACTGATTTTGAAAAATTAAATAAGGATATGAACTAAATGATTCCTTTAAGTTATGAGATAATATAGAATGTCAGACAGTAATTTATTACCAAAACAATCTAGTGTTTTACTGGAAATACACATTTCCATTAGTAAAGGATTCAGAAATCCTTTTTATTAAAGGCCAGGAATTACGACGTTGTCTAATATTTGACATACCCTACAATCTAAAAATCAACCTTGGATTTATTAATATCATCTGAATATAAACTTGTTATATAGTTTTCAATATTTTGATAGCTCCCACAGTTCACTTGATGAAAAAGGCCAGTATATACAAAAATTCCCACTAAGTGGAGTGGGTTACATTACATGAACTCAAACACTATTGTATTCTCTTTTATACTCTTTAGAAAGACCATTTGAATGTAAGAGTTTTTTAATGTTTTATCTTTTATAGTTTTTCTTGGTCTCCCTCAATCTCTATTTATTGGGCTATCCTCCATCTGATCAATTCTTATTGTGGGGCTTCTATCGTCCTTCTTCTCACATAGCCAAACCATCTTAGGCAAAATCCTTTCATCTTTTCCTCAATATGCGCTACTACTACTTTTTCTCTCATACATTTATTCATGATTTTATCTTTTTCTTGTATGTCCACTAATAAACCACAACATTCTCATCTCTGCAACACTTAGGGGGCGTTTGGTAGAGAAGATATTTTTTTTTACCAGGAAAATACAATTACTAGAGAAATAGTGAAAAAATGAGTTTGGTAGGAAAGTAAAAAAAAAGTTGTTTGGTAGGGTTAAATATTACTGGAAAAGTTGATTTAAGTTTACAAAGTCTATGTTTGGTTGAAGTAAAACATTGATGGGATAATGAGTGTAAATTACGAAAAAGGGCATTTTTTAATTTTGAATATGAAAAAAAAAATGTAACCGTTGATTAAAATTTTAGTCGGTCTATCGTTGGGGTTGTCTTGTTCTACCAGAGAGATGAAGATAAACATGTAACTCTGCTAGCATATGATTCAAAAGTTGCTTGATATTCAAGGACATTACCACTTTGCATTAGTTTAGATAGAGAAGCGGACATTGCAAAGCCCGTGCAAAAGAGGACCAATCAGGAATAAGATCAATCAGCTTTTCTTCCTTTCCCATCTAAATCGAAAATACCACCCTCCTTCTAGTTTTTTGGAATAGTATTTTACATCAAATTTTGCAAATGATTCATCATGCCTGGGTAAACGATTTCGCTGGTTAAATTTGTGAAACTCTTGTACCAAACATGGTAAGATGAAAATACCACTTGAAGTTACCTAGGTATCTAAACAGAAAACCTATACCAAACGCCCCCTTAGCTTATTCTTTTGTTAGCACTTTACCATCGTAACATTTAGTAGCATAAAGCATTGCTGGACTTCTAGCTACTTTACTCAGGATCAATGACTATTCCCACAAACCAACACGAGATTTTTCAGCGTGTTTTGTCCTCACTCACACACTTCCTGAGGAACTTCCCAAAAAGTCACTTATTCCAGAACTACTCCAGGTCAAGCACGCTTCACTATGGAGTTCTTAAGTTATAGGCTACCGAAAAGTAGATGCAACTTATTAGTATAGGTAGTACATATTAATTCCTTTAAACTATCATCAACTGTACAGTTTCATACTTACATAGTCTCTGGATCCCTCTCATTCAGGTGTTGATTTGATTCAGTCAAGTACCCCTCCCGTTGGAAGCTTGCCAGGAGCTAATATCACAGCCCTCCTACCTTAGTGGGTCTCCAGGCACTGGGATTTTCGACTGGTAGTACAGTCCAACCCACGTACCAAAGGACTATCTACTCCCCGCCCTCGTCAGCACCCGGGATGTTACATGAAGCATTTCTCCATTTCAACCACCCAACTTGAATCCTACTTCTACTTAATTGAAAACCATTTGATTCCAAAGCTTCCCTCCACAATTCTGGTTTACCATTTATTCCCTCTCTCAACTCCCCCACCAGTACTTACTATATCATCCATAAAGAGCATGCATTGAGGCACAGGAAGTAGATATGCTCAGCGAGTAACCAAGGTAAAAAAACAAGTACTCAAAGTTGACAAGGTCTAACTAACCCTATAGTTATAGGGAAATCCTCAATGACCCTTCCATGTATTTGCACACTAGTTTTAATCCCATCACATGTGGTGTAATCTCATAGCATTTACCAAGGTTAAAGAGAATTAAAATAAATCTGAACTGGAAAAGCTTCAAACCTTTTCCTTCACATTAAACCTCCCATCATTGGTGTTATGCTGTCCAGCTTGGTCTATGAAGAATTTGTCTGCAATGTCCTTCAATTTTTTCTGCACATCAGCAGGTTGTAGAGGAGATGAGTACAGCTGCTTTGCATAGATTATATCAGTTCCCCCTATTTTCATGCCAACTATAACATGGGTTCCATACTTGTCAATAAACCTGAAATGATACAATGAAACGATGAAATACATGTTACAACTCAAAACAATGAAAATATATCTTGACATAAATACCATCTTTAATTAATTACATAATAAGACATAACGAAACGAAGCAAGAACACCTCTGACAGTAGTCACCAGTGAGCAAAGCAAGCAAAGCAGCAAGCCAGATTGGGAGAAAGAAAAGGAAATTATTTTGCTGAATCCACGAAGTACCTTGCTAAGGCAGCCGGATCCCAGGACGAAGGAACAGCTTGTTTGACATTATCACGAAGAACTACCTGAGTTTTCTCAAATTCAAAGTTGTAGAGTGTGACGGAGACACCATCAAAAGCAAGACTCTTGGTATTCGCAGCATCTTTCTGCCAAACTCCTGAAAACTCAAATGCAGCATTGAAATGTCCCGTTGGAATCTTACCAGACAGTGACAGCTCCTGGTTGAACTGCTCCGACATCTAAATTGCAAACAAAACAAGTTATATATATATATATATATATATGCCTAGTCACACAAACAAATACAATCCTCTACACTCTTCTGTATAAGAAAAAATTAAATTAAATTAAATTAAATTAATAATACACATAACAATTTATTTCAACAGAGAAGATTTAATAAATTTGAATTAAATTAAAATCTCTAGATTCCAACATGGACACATAAAACAAAACAATTTCTTTCCCTCCTCGACCCACATAATATTCTTGAGTCAAAACACAGACTTTAAAGTAGCAAGAGAAACTTGAGTAGGGAAATCGAAGTATACCTGCTGAAAAGAAAGTACATCGGAGCACAATCTCATGCGGTCACCTTTATCACATTTAATGGATTTGGGGACATTAGGGATGGAAACACGACCGGGAAGCTCGACAGTACGAAGTTGGTCGTGGTCGATAGCGATCAATCTGGAGTTATTCTTGCAAGATTTGAGCCTGAGATCACTGGTCAGATCGTAACCCAACCCAATGGATTTGATAGCACTCTCAACTTCAAAACCCTTCTTTTTCCCTGACATCTTATTCAGTTCTTACCCTTTTTTTCTTTTTCTTTTTTTCTTTCTATTGGCTCATCACCCACTCAACTCACCACACCACAATCAAAAATATATATTGCTATGGAGAAAGCAAAATCAAACTAAAAAAACTATTGAGTTCACGGGATAATAATACAAAGACAAGATGAAGAGCAAGTCTAATAATGTCTACAGTCAAAGGAATGTAATGTATATAGTATCATCATCAATTTTTTATCATCATCGTTGTTATTATTATATTATAAATTATAATTATACTTGCTTTTTTTGGTTTCCAAGAACTGGCTAATGTTTACAAGACTGGTCAACCTAATCATGTTGTTTGACCAGGAAACTAAAAAACATATGCAAATTGCAAGGATCAATATCACTGCATATTCTTAAAATTTTATTATTGAACGACTACTACTAATTGATTATATTAATAAGTATTTGTTTGCAGATTAATGATGAAAAAATTGGAAAAATAAATAAATTATCCAAGCAACTTGCTTAGAACAAGCATGAATAATTTTTTTTTTCACGAGTATCTACTAAAGAAAACCAATTTTTTAGTCTAAAAGGAATATGAGAACAAAAAAGTAAAAGCGGTAGAATTTTTACTGTCTTTGAGGGGTAGGTAATGAAAGGTATAATATTTCTAGAATGAAAGTCATAGAGCGGCTGCTACTCCTCACAATCACGAAATTTTTTTGGTTAACACGGTATATTTTTTATCAAATACATATAAATAATTTTTTTTTACATTATTATTATCTAATTACTTTTTTAAGAATTTTATAATTTTTATGTAATTGAAATTTTCTTACACACTCTTTCATTTCTGTGCTAACGTGATCTCACACATATTTTTTCTAACTTATAAAATTTCCACATACTCTTTGTCTTACATAAAATTTCAATTCTGAAAATTATAAACCCTTTCTTTAAATATTCTACCTTCTCCGGCTGCATTCAAAATGTGCTCTGCGATCACATGGCACGCTCTCATTCATCTTACATTAAATAAATTATTATAATTAAATTAAAACCTAATTAATTGGTGAGGTCCAGCTGCTCCAGCGCAACTTTTTAAGAATTTTTTTTTTAAGAATTTTTTAATTGATATAAGTTTATTGATAATTATAGAATTACTACTTTAAAAAATAAAAAAATTAATACCACCTTTTTTTTAGGAATATTGTAACAATCAATTAGTGTTACTACCAATTAACTTCACCGTTAGATCGATTATGTTGATCCAAAAATAGAAATAAATATAACCGTTGATCAATATAATCGATCTAACGGTGAAATTGATCAGTGGTAACACTAATTGGTTGTTACAATATCCTACTCTCTTTTTTACTCGGTGTTAATTATCTTATTAAAACGAGTTGGCTTCCTTGTATTCTCATAAATTGAGATTTTTTAAATCAGCTATGAGAGTAATTTGATACAGGAATGGAAAATATTTCAATTTCTTCCAAAAGTGTATACGGAGATCAAACCAAGATCTTTTTTTTTCATTTACTCAGCTTCCTTATTACCGACTAAGCTCCTGTCATTTATTTTAATACCACTTTTTTAAAAGAAAAATATTTGTTCTTTTAAATGACACAATTTATATCATTTTATTCTTATAAAAAAAATGAGATCCATACTTTTATTTTTTTTTGTTATCTCTCTTATAATCTATTTCTTTATCTCGTTTAAAAACACCTAACCTTACATCTATTAAAATTACTTTTTCCTTTTAAAAAAGACAAATGACTTCTCATGAATCATAATAACACGGAAGAAGTCATTCGCAGACAGTTATATATATATATATATATATATATATATATATATATATACGAAAAATATTACTCTACTTTTGTATAAGATAACATATCTTATGCTCCCCTACTTCGATTTTTGCACCCCTACCTTTTTCTTTTTCTTTTCTTTTTTCTTAATGGGACCCACCTATGTTCTCTCTGCAACATAAAATTACTATCTTATGTGAAATGAGACTAATAAAACTTTATATATATAAATATAAATCTCTCAAATTATTTGAGATATATTTATCTTCGGTTATCCCAAAATTACATCATTTTATTTATTTATTTTCTTATATTAATTGATTCATTTTTGAATAATTATAATTCTTTTTTTCTCACTTTCTTTATCACGATAAGCTCATATATATTTCTACAACTACTTTAGATAAGATTATCTACAATTATTCCAAAATTATATCGTTTTGATTAATGAAGGGTGTTTCTGTAATTTTGTTTATTTTTATCATTACATTTTACTGACACACCCTTCATTAATTCACCTAAAATTACAGAAACACCCTTCATTAATCAAAATGACTTAATTTTTGAATAACTGTAAATAATTTTATCTAAAGTGACTTTAGAAATATTTTTCATATATATGTGTGTGTGTGTGTGTGAAAATATAAGCCTCGTGTGATAAAAGACAATAAGTCTCTTTTATACACTCAAAAAGACATGATATCACCTCAATTTTTTTTTCTTTTTCTGTATAATGGGACCCAATAAATTTATAAGTGTAGCATAAGATTTCTTATCTCATGTTACGTAACAAAATATAATCATATATATATATATATATATATATATATATATATATATATTAAGGGAATTACTTTTCTTATGTTACATAAAAAAATTATTATCTCCTACACTCACATTTTTCAAATGGGTCCCATAAGATTTTTTTTCTCTCACCTTTAACTTTTTTCTCTCTCCTAACTATTGTTTGAGTATGAGATAATACTTCTCTTATGCAACATAAGAGAAGTATTACCCATATTTTAAAATAGCGGTGGTCCATAAACTTATTTCTATCGCACGAGAAGAACAATTTTCTGCAGCCCTTTTTAAAATTAGAGTAAATATCATTTTTGGTCCTCAGCAAATTTCACGATGTCCGCTTTAGTCCTTAGCAAATAAAAAAGTCCATCGTGGTCCCTAAGAAATTCAAAATGGACCCATTTTAGTCCTTTTAGGGACTAATATGAGTCTTTTTTGAATTTGTGAGGGATCGCAATTTCAACTAAATGGACCCATTTTGAATTTCTTAGAGACCACAATGGGCCTTTTTATTTGCTAGGGACTAAAACAGGCGTCGTGAAATTTGTTGAGGATTAAAAAGGGTATTTACTCTTAAAATTATCTTCTTGTTTTTTTCAAATAGTACACATGCTTGTATTGTTCGGCACCTGGTAGGCTGGTACCATGCCCCTGTTGTAGTAGAAAAGTTGTAAAATCTGGCCCGATCCGATCGGGTAGACTTGAAACCCAGCGAATTGACCATCGGACCGGTTTGTATTAGGTATTGGACCGGTCATAGATCAATTTGATCAAACTCAGTCAAAACTCGGACAAAACTGGCTAAATCCGGTCAAAATCGGTGACCCGATGATCCAGTGACCCGGTCAGGTCATGCATTTAAAAAAACCAAAAAATAAAAATTGTTTCATCTTATAAAAAAAATGTAGAACTCATTTTAAATTTTTTTTGTAATTTTATTTGCTAATTTACTCTTCTACAATGACTTCACATTTCAGTTTCTAATACTGAAGCAATTTGCGAAATAATAAATTAAGAGAATGTGACATATTTTATTTTTATTGTAGTTGAATTTGAAAAATATGAGTTCAATGTCATTGAGAAGTATGTTTATGGGATTCAGAGTTACAATTTAAATTGACATAGTAATAACATCCATTTTTATTTATTTATGTTTTTTGTTTCTGAGCTTATTTAATGAACCTTGTTTAATTCATTTTAGATATGGAGAATATAATTGAATTTATATATTCATATTTTTATATATCTATATATATCCGGGTCAACCGGTCCAACCAGTGACCCAGTAACCCATTATTCCAACCGGATCGATGCCTGGATCGGATTTAATAACACTAAACTAAAAATAAACATCGAAGAGATTTAAAATTCAAGAGAAAAAAAAATTAAAGGGTTGATGAAATATATTACTATGGTTCGAGAGAAAGTAAGAGTATCTACTCGGACACTACAGTGGAAGTGTGTTGAATCAAGAGTAGACAGTAAGCGTCTTTATTATCGACGTTTACCTGAATGCCAAGTATAGCCCGTAATAATCTATTTTCCAGGGCATACGATGATTCTTTCGCCATTTGGGATATTAATTTACCCAAGTCTATCAAATTATTTAACTATGTACGTTATAACAAAAAAAAAAAGAATATTGAGGTAATTATTTCGTACAGCACGTACAATTTTTTTTCTCTTCTTTTTAATGAATCCTATTAATTTTTTTTTATGTATTACATGTAACAAATTACATCATTAAACATGATAAAAAAATATGCCCAAGATATACAGTTCTATTTTGATGAGAGCATTGATATAAATTTTTTAGTAAATATTTTTTTTGGTCCTCAGCAAATTTTACGATGCCCGTTTTAGTCCCTAGAAAATAAAAAGGTCCATCGTGGTTCATAAGAAATTCAAAATGGACTCATTTAGTTGAAATTTTAGTCCCTCACAAATTCAAAAAAGACCCATATTAGTCCCTAAAAGTATTAAAATGTGTCCATTTTGAATTTTTTAAGACCACGATGAACCGTATCGTGAAATTTGGTCTCTAAATTTTTAGTAAGATTCATACTTTGTTTTGTTTATATGTACACGTGTCACAAAGGAAGTAAAGTCATGACTTTAGAAACCTGATCCACCAAAGTCAGCAACTTTTGGTGTATGTGTTCGAGCTTCTTTGCTACTTCCTTCCAATTGAGCAAAGGGAAAACACAACAACAAAATTATTGCTCTCAAAGTTTGGTTAAAAAAAGATCTATGGTATGGTATGGAACTTCCAAGAATGTTCTTTGAAATTGAGTCTTTGCTTGTGTTGACTTGGCTTGATCTTAATTGAGTGTGTAATGGTTTCCTCTTCTGCTTTAACAGCTGTCTTACCTGCATGTTATAGACCTTCAAATTGAGTAATGGCACCAAGAGTTTCAAGTTTGCAAGCAGCCCAGAAAGCAGTGAACTCAATTGGGTTGGGTTTTGACATAACACAAGACATAAATTTTGACAACTGCAAGAGGGGTTCAAAGTTGATCCTGGTCAATGAAGAACTATGTCGTCATCTGGAGATTCCTGGAGGAGTTTCAATTCCAAATGTTCCAAACTCTATTAAATGTGTAAGAGGGGAATCAATTAGAATCCAGTCAGAAGCTCTCACCTTGCAACAGGTATGTTATATATGATTATGTTAACCATGGTTGAATACTTAAATTAACCCTTTTGAGTGTTAGACAGATGTTAATTTTTGTGAGCATATGTTAATGTGTTTAAGATGTTGGAGCACTTCAATCAGCAAATGTGCTTGGTAGGCAAAACTGCATCTGGTCATTTCTGTGCTTCATTTGGGTTATCTGGTCGATGTATAAAAGGTTTGGCTTCTATCAAGTCTCTTGCTTATGATGGATGGTTCATCAAACGCTATGCCATTGAATTAGAAAGGTATCATGGTGAACTCCATGAGCATGTCAAAGAAGCAGTGCCATCATCATGGGACCCTGAGGCCTTGGCAAGGTGAGACCCTGCAACTGCACATGTTAATAATACTTGACATAAAATTGACAAGCTCTTTCAATCTATATATTATAATGAAAGGAAAACAATTTCACTAATCAGTCCACAAATTTCAATCTATATATTCCAAAAATTACCTCATTCACTGCTCTTCAGTAATTATTCATTTGCCAAGCTCTTTTGTAGGATGCAAATTGCATTGTGATGGGATGGGATGTCATTGAGTGAAACAATTAAATAAACAAGCTATATTTGTAACTTCACGATAATAAAATAATTTTTACCGATTCATACCAGGTTTATAGAGCGTTTTGGAACTCATGTAATAGTTGGAGTGAGCATGGGAGCAAAGGATGTGTTATATGTTAGACAGGAGGATACATCATATCTCCATCCAACTAGTATACAAAAACTTTTGAAGGATACAGCCAACATGAAGTTCATGGATTCTGCAGAAAATCATTGCCTGGCTTCTGAAGACTTATGTAACCAAAAAGAGGTATCCATGCACACCTTTATTGACTTATTATTGTCTTTTTTCTTGTTTTGTCGATCCAAAAATAATTATTATAAAAAAGTTTCAAATTAAAAAGTTTTTTTTCTTAATGAAATTTTATATATTGGTTTGATTCGAAGGCAGGACTTATCCCTTTCATTCCCCCATCCAAAATAAAAATCTGAGTATGCATGTATTGTGCATGTCTAAGTAACAAAAAAGAAACTATTCCCACAAAAAATATTTTTTGGGTATATATTTTTAAAGATTGAATTTGTAGTAGCAATTTGTGTTTGTTGATTATTAGCTTACATATAATTTTTTGAGTTAATTTGCTAGTTATATCTTTTACTTAGCTAACTAATGCATTTTACTTAAAATCATTGCAGCTTTATATGTTAAATTCATGAGAAGAATCTGCATATGCTTTTAAGATCTTAACATGTGAAAATTTTCTTAGCTTATTGGAAAAATTGGCACAAAATACTTTTCCTTTCCATGTGACATTAATGAAATACATTTGAAGATTGACTGAGGACCATTATAAGGTCTTACAATCGCAACTTAAATTTCTTTCTTTGCATAGAGAATGTTTCTTACACTATATATGGACTTATCTATCCAATATAGAAATTTTCTTCCATCAAAGAATGATTGTTCTGTTATGCTCTGTTAATAAAAGTCCTGCATTTGTGCCTATGTCCCTAATGTGCAATGCAACAGATGTTACAAACAAAAAAGCTTTTTGAATTTCCTAACTGCATTGCTAATCCGTAAATTTTCTCATTAGGGTTTGCAGAATCTTTTTGTAATACACTGTAGGAGGGGTGGAAGCATTCAAAAGATGTATCATAGTGAATGGTTGGATACTATAGACTCAGAACCTGATGTCATATCAATGTTTCTTCTCCCTCTGACATCCCTCTTAAAAAGTATCCGCGGAAGTGGATTTGTGAGCCATGCCATAAATCTCTATCTTCGTTGTAAGCAATTATTTGATTTGTTTTGTTGCACAAATATTTGACATAACATTAAATATGTGTGCTTTTGATTCCACCTAAATTTCAGAAGATGATCTGGAAGCTGTAGTACATTATGTAAAAAAAAATGGTAGAAATCTACATACAAAAATTATATAATTCTCTGAAGAGAACACAATTGACCACTTTTATTTTTATCTAGCACACTGGGAGAAACTAGTAAATTGTGTTCTTTGATTGTAACGCTTAAAATGTTAAATTAGATAAACTCTCATAGGCATGTACAATAATCTCTCTTGAAACTGAATTAGCTGAACCTGCATGTATACTGTGACTGTTGAAACAGACAAACCTCCAATTGAAGACCTCCATCAATTTTTCGAGTTTCAGCTACCAAGACAATGGGCTCCTGTACTTAGAGAGATACGTCTTGGTTCTCATTGGAAGCAACAAGTGAATACCTGGCTACGATTTAGTTTCTTGGGTCCTAAGCTTTACATAAATACAATTCCAGTAAGTTTTCCATCTTGGATTTTAATATGCATTTTGTGAATTAAACTGGGAGCCTAAAAAGATGGTGAAGAAATGTACCTAACTTTCCTTTCTTCTTTCTTTATGATATATATATATATATATATATATATATATATATATATATATATATAAAGAAGGAATTTCTTTCTTTCTCTGCATACTAGTTGAATCTGATAGAGTTAAAGGTGAAATATCATTGTTCATGATCCATGCACCTGTATAAAATTGCAGAACTGTATTGTGATTTAATTATCAAGAATGTTTTGACTGCCTGTTGCTAAAAGGGTATATGGTCTCCTCCTAGACCCCAGGATTTTACCTACCCAAAGGGTTGTAAGTTCTATTACTGAGAGTCATAACTCTTGGAAGAGTGGAAAGGCTCAAATTCAAAACCTGATTACTTGAGCCTGTTAGGGCTTCAGACACCTATTGGTATCTAAAAAAACAAAAAAAGGGTATATGGCCTCTTATAGCGTTATCTACTATAATCATCATACTAGCAAATACCAAATTTGCATTTTACATAAATTTTGATATGGAAGTACTGACTTACTAATAACTAGAAATATTTTAATATTAGTAACGTTGGAGAAACTGCAGCTTCCATAATTCATAAACTAACTAATTTGTAATGTTGGCTCCATTTTCCTTGATGGCAGGTAGATGTAGGTAATAGACCAGTAATTGGCCTGAGACTACAATTGGAAGGGAGAAGAAGCAACCGGTTGGCTATTCACCTGCAGCATCTGGCTTCTCTACCCAAGTCCTTACCACTTTCAGACAATGCAAATGCTTATTTGTCTTGTGACTCATATCACTGCAACTTGCACAAGAAAGTTAAATGGAACTGCTTTTCTTATGTCTGTACAGCACTTGTTGAATCAGATGATAGTCTTTCAATTGTCACAGGAGCTCAGTTACAAGTTGAAAAGAAATGTCTCCTTTTAAGGCTTCGCTTCTCTAAAGTTATTGGTGCCACTCTGCAGAAGCCACCTGAGTGGGATCAATCCTCTAGTCTTGGCCAGTTTAGCAGCAAGAGTGGGGGCATCTTTGCATTTATTTCCAAAGAGGGACAGAGGGGTCATCCAAAGCCTGGTGATAAAACCATTGGTTCTACTACATATTCTACTGCACGTCCTGCACCAGTGCACACACCTAAACTTCAAAGGTTTGTGGACACAACAGAAATGATTAGAGGACCAGAAGATACTCCGGGATATTGGGTTGTGTCCGGAGCAAGGCTTTCTGTCCAGAATGGGAAAATACACCTCCTTGTTAAGTACTCACTATTGAGCTTTGTTATGCAAAGTTGTTGAGATATATAGTCTCACATTGATTGTATGTGCAACTAATGTAGAGTTTATAAGACCTTGGGCACTCTCACCCTTTGAGCTAGCTTTTGGGGTGGTGTATCCCAAGGTTCTTTACATGGTATCAGAGCCAGGTTCCGATCCTAGGACCTGTGGGTTATGGGCCCACCACGCTTACCCACCACGCTTACATGCCCAAAGAACTTTGTGGATACACTATCCCAAAAGCTAGCTCAAAGGGTGAGAGTGCCCAAAACCTTATAAACTCCACATTAATTGCACATACAATATGGTACTATATATCTCAACAAAAGTGAAACTGAAGCTTCATAGCAGTTCTTTTCAACAATTAGGAGACACTTTCAATCTTCCATGATGTTACGCAGCAATTAGTGCTATCAAAGTTGAGAACTGTATTGGATTTTATGGAAAAACACTTTACATTCTTTATATGTTTATCAGTTTAGTCCTATTATTTCCACACAACAATTTAACGCAGTCTCATCACAGATGTGCATTAGGATTAATAATTTTGCGTTAAAAAATTTAATCAGAAGTTTTTATTTTTTTGTAAATAATTATTTTTGTAAGATTATTATTATTACCAACTATGCTCCCAACCGAATGAAAAGTTTACTTGATAGTTCAATCATAATTCACGTGGATTACGATTAATATAAAATTAGATTTACAATGAACTTTATGAATAACAAAATATTCATTGTTTAAAATTATAAATACGTGCTTACTGTGTACTCTTCAAAATTGATCGTCTTGGCCGACAACGTTTATTGTATATCGGGTACACTGGTGTGATGTGTACAACGCATTATATTAACCATGTGATGTGTCACGAGCGCGTAGCATAATTGGTAATTTGATATGGGGTCAAGTCCTTATATTTGACTTAACCCTGTAATAATTCTTTCAGATGTCAGAGCACTTCAACACGGCTATGCTCTTGTCTGGCGAAATACCATCGGGTCATTTTTGTGCTTCATTTGGGTTATCGAGCAACTTGGCCAGAGATCAAGCTACAACTAGTGGTTTTGCTTATGATGGCCGGTTCATCAAATGCTATGCAATCGAGGTATCACCATGTCAAAGAAGCACTGCCATCATCATGGGACCCTGAGTCCTTGACAAGGTAAGTAGGTAACACTAGACAACAACTGCCAGATGTATTTATTTTCAAAAATGACGTTGTTTTAGTATTGAAAAATTTAAAAAGTATACTTATAAAGACGATAATGACCCTGAAATAAATTAAAATTACGAAAAACATCATGATTTTTACTCCAAAAAAACGTGCTTAATGCAATAAGTGCGCTGCAGAAAAAACGAACCATATATATATATATATTGTACCAATAAGAAATTAGCCGTACTCCCAAAATAAAGTGGCCGTAAGAGTTGAATGTGAATAAGTACTAAAAAAAAAATTGCATTGTGATTTAGTGAAACAATGTGTTGTGTTTATATTGAACATGATTTGTTATGATATCATGGTTGTTTCTATGTGACTTCAACAATGATAAAAACATTTGTACCTACTTTTTCATGCAAGGTTTATAGAGCGTTTTGGAACTCATGTTATAGTTGGTGTGAGCATGGGTGGGAAGGATGTATTATATGTTAGGCAACCACGCACACCACACCTTCAAAATACCAGTCTTTTAAATTTTTTGAAGGATAAAGCTAGCATGAGGTTCACAGACTCTGCAGAGAATTATAGCCTAACTACTTCTGAAGTCTTATGTAACAACATAGAGGTATCCATTTCCATCTTTATTGACTTAGTATGTCCTCTTAATTAGCATGTTTGAAGGAAAAGTAATTACAAAAAGTTAATTTTGAAAACTTTGAAACTTTACCTACCTAAAAAAAAAAAAAACACTTTGCAACTATTTTGGTATCTTTCGCTTTTATGATCCTTATAGGCATTAATAGTTAAATTTTTTTTTTGATAAATCATATGTATTCTTTATGGGAAATAATCTTGCTCGAAGCGGGTTCATGATTTTAATAGTTAATATTTAATCACATGTTCTGCTTAATTATATTTTATGATAATTCTCTCTAGCTATTTGCTTTGAGGTCTTCAATCACTTCAATATAATTTCACTCTAAGAGAAGATATTACTCATTTACTAAAATAAATAAATAAATATACAAAAAGAGAGATATATATCTTACACACTGACATACATTACTGTATAAAAACAAAAATTTCCAAATAATATATATTTACAACATATATTAAATATATATGGTTTTTCTTTTAAAAATTTATTTTAAAATGATGGTAGCGTCATTAGAGAAAGTTCATAAATCAAATTTAATATACTTAATTTACGGGTTTTCATTGATATTATAAAAGTTATCAATAATTGATTTAATAGTTTTTAATGCCATCTGATTAAAACAAAAATGGATCATGTTAACATTTGAATTTTGAAGCATGAAAATTGTTTGAATATTTCTTTACTAAGAAAACTTATTTAATATATGGGTTTTATAAGAGTTATGTTGTAGGAAAAGTGATTGTGTTATGTTATAGAGATTCGTTTTGTGTGCTAAATTTTTTTTTTTTTTGCTGCGGGTCCCACAAGATATTGTGTGTGTAGAAAACTTTTTGTGGTCATGTTAAATGACAGATGATAAACCCTTAATATATATAGTACTTGTAATAATACATTTACATTCAAATATTAGTTTCAAAGAGAGAGAAAATTAAGTTAATGAATAAATTGAATTAATAAGGATTATGGATAGTCAATAATATAAAAAGAATTTTAGCTTCTTAAAACAAAACTACTTGAAGTTAAGTAAGGAAATAAAAATAAAATAATAATTATAACAAAATATAGATAAACAAATAGAAGTTAACAGAACGTGGATGAATAAATAAGAATACTAATAACCTAATCCTATATTCGAAGGTAGAACTTGTACAAAACCCTTATTATTCCCATTATTCTCCCACCAAAACATAAAAAACAAAAAACAAACCTGTGAGGACGAATATGCCTGCATGTGTGAAGTTAATAAAAAAAAACAAAGATATATATCATAGAATGGTCCTTTTTTTTCATTGCTGCAAAAAAAAAATCTTTCTTGTGCTACCGATCATAACTATGTACTCGGATAATACATAATTATGATATGAAAATTATATTTTTTTCTATTTTCATACGCCGACAACTTCTGAAAAGAGAAAAAAATAGTTCTAATACTATAACTATGTACACCCAGAATTACATAATTATAATCGGTGGCAAGATGATTTTTTTTTTTTTTACATCAACATAAAAAATAGATTTTCCATTATAAAAAGGGGAAAATGTTTTTCCTACTAAGGGAGATAAATATTAATTATTATGTTATTAATTTCTGCTTGTTATTAATTATTATCTTACATGCATTTTTTGAAATAATTTGCTTTTAACCTTCGCTATTCACATATTTCAAGAGTGAATATTGCAGTTTTATATGTCAAATATATTCAATGTGACATATCTGCGTATATATGTTGGGGAAATTACTTCTTATGTAACTGTAGAAGTGCAGCAATACAGATACGCGTCCGAATCCTGATTTTTTTTTTTATAGAATCCGCACGTGTATCCTAGGATCCGCACGTGTATCCTAGTGTTAAAAATTTGCTGCAACTTTTCTCATCAGCAGTCACATGAGAGAAGCGACGTACCCATATATGTTTCTAACAACATGACATATGATGATTTTCTTAGTCTATTGGAAAATTTGTGTTCAGAATCATCAGAAGTTTATGTCGAGGAGCGAGGACCATAAAAAAATCTTACAAGTGCATCTTGAATTTCGATCTTACATATAGAATTAATTGTTCATCCAGCATAGAAATTTCCTTCTGTCAAGGAATGATGTTTCATTTTATGCTTGCCCAGCGGTGCTTAATAGTTGGGCCTTCCTTTAGCACCATTAATGATCTATCGTCCCTTGCTATCTTATAATGAGACAATTCATCTTGAAATTTTCAATTCTTTGAAAATGTCACTGTGTCATTGTCCTCTGCATGAAGAACTCAAGTAATGTAACTATCAGCATCACAACTATTGGCATTAATTTCCAAACAAAATAGCTTGAAAAATCTTACAAGTGCATCTTGAATTTCGATCTTACATATAGAATTAATTGTTCATCCAGCATAGAAATTTCCTTCTGTCAAGGAATGATGTTTCATTTTATGCTTGCCCAGCGGTGCTTAATAGTTGGGCCTTCCTTTAGCACCATTAATGATCTATCGTCCCTTGCTATCTTATAATGAGACAATTCATCTTGAAATTTTCAATTCTTTGAAAATGTCACTGTGTCATTGTCCTCTGCATGAAGAACTCAAGTAATGTAACTATCAGCATCACAACTATTGGCATTAATTTCCAAACAAAATAGCTTGATAAATTTCCGAACTGCGTTGATCATATATAAATTATCATTATTCTGTGTTTGCAGAATATAGTTGTGATATACAACAGGAGGGGCGGAAGTAGTGAAATGGTGCCTCATATATATCTGACAGAACAGTAAATATGAGTGCTTTTTATTCAACCTATATCTCGAAAAATGTTCTGCAAAATGTTGTAGTAGTACTAGTCTAGTAGATTAATTATGTCAAGAATAATGGTAAAATTATTAGCCGAAGGAAAAAGAAATTACTCTTCGAAGAGAACACAATTGATAACTGTTTTCTTGGAAATTCATTACATTGGTTAGAAATGGACTAAGCAGAGACAATATAAGTAAAGGATCCATAAATTCGATGCCTTGAAATTTTGGATTGAAATATATATAGTGTTAGAGTCCACTTATTATGATGATGTGCCCGCATAATCCATTTAATAATAAATCATATTCTCCAACGAACTGAACCTGCACTTTACTGACGACTGCTGAAACAGACAAGCCTCCGATTGAAGAGCTCTATCAGTTGTTGAATTTTCAGCTTTCAAAACTATGGGCCCCTGTATTTGGTGACGCATCTCTTGGTTCTCGTTGGAAGAATAAAGTCAAGGTTGGGCTACGATTAGGTATCTTGGGTCCTACGCTTTACATAAACACAATTCCTGTAAGTGTTCATCGTTGCTTTTATTCTGCATTCTGTGAGTTGAAGTTTCCCATGTTTTTTATGTTCTAGTTAACTGGGAGCCTAAGATGGTGAACATCTGTATTCTGTTCCTTGATTTTCTATTTATTTCTTCTTTTTTCTAATCTATCAATATCAATATAAAGAAGGCATCAGTAGTTTCTATTAAGGGAAGTTGTTACTATACCATTTTTTTTTATTATGGTAGGACGTACTAATGATAAACTGTCTGACACTTTTTTTTATCAAAAGTTCATTCAATATAACCAGTATTTCATAAACATTTAACAACTCAACTTCCTCAATTAGGAGCTTCTTTGAATATTTATGGGATCATCAATCAAATCTTGGTCACACCCACCAAGTACTTAGCTCCGCAAC